TGACTAGGGTTAATTATCAAATTTTACGTTATTAGACTAGCTAAACTAATGAGTAAATTAGAAGAGATTTAATAAAAGAAATAAAATAAACAACTAATCGGATGGAATTCAATATAATGAAGGACTAGGATTGGGTTATCACCACAACTTAGGTGTTCAATGATGAATTATTTCAATTCTTGGTGTTGGTTTAATCTAGAAAGGGTGAATTAACCTAAATTAATCTAAAGCCTCTTTCAAGGTCTAAAGATCGTGCTTAATCAATCTCAATTAACCTACTTTCGTGGAATCAAGATTAAATTAAACCCATTAAGATTTATACTAATCCAAATCAAATCCCCAAGGAATCTAGCCTACTTTCGTGGTTCGAGCTCCCTGCTTAATTTCTAGAGATCCGGTATTAATCTTCACCTTTCAGTCCTTCAATTAATTACCTATGATTGCTAATACGGTGATCAAGCGAATCAACAAAATTAAAACACTAGAAATCAAGTTCAAAGATTTAAACTTTCACCAAGAACATATATTAATTCATCATCAATCACCAAAAAGTTGGGTTCTTTCCCAACCCTAGACAAGAAATCTACTCACACATGATTGGAATAAGAGAAGACATCAAATAATTATGCAAATCAATCATAAGAAGAAATAAATCAAAGAGAGGAAAGAATTAACCCGTCTTTCAATTGAAATCTTCAAAATAAGAACTTGCAATCCAATCTTCTACAAGAGATTAATGTCTTCCTTCAATACTTGAACCCTAGAATAGTTGCTAGTTGATGGCTAAAAGAACATAACAAAAGATATCCAAAACCCTAAGTCAAAACATCTTTTTATATGTCCCCAAAAATCTGGAAAATAACTAATTCCCGCTCCACCGGTGTGGTCTGCACCACACCAGGGTGTGGTAGGGTTTGTTTTGCTGATTTTGTGCTTGTTTCTTTAGTTTTCGGTATTTTGACTATAACTTTTGCGTCAGACCTCGGAATGAGGTGATTCAAGTTGCATTGGAATCCTGTTGAAGAGATCTACAACTTTCATCTTTTGAGTTTTTCTTGATTCAAACTGCATCATGGTCGAAATTCCAGTTCTTCATACTCGTACATCCATTTTCTTCACGAACCATGCCTTCAAAATCTTGTTGTTGCTTCAAACTCTTGTAAAACTTCCAACGATCATCAAATCTTTCAATCTTGAGCCAATACCTACATATAAGAACACAAACCACAGCAGTATCCTCGATCTAAACACGAAATATGCATTAAACACTCGTAAATCATGCTTAAAACACACTAAGATAATGCATATTTTACGTGTTTATCAGAGGGTATCTGTCAGCTCAGGGGATTCTACACCAGACTACATGTCCATACACTCTAGCTCAGAATGTGGTAGCAGAGAGGAAGAACAGACATCTCCTAGAAGTTACTAGGAGTATGATGATGACGATGAATGTCCCAAAAATGTTGTGGGGACAAGCAGTCTTCACTGCTGCTCATTTAATCAACAAGATGCCTTCGAGTGTGTTGGAGTGGAAGTCACCTCGTGAGATACTGAAGGGAGATAACGGGGGAGCCCTACCATTGAAGGTATTTGGTTGTGTGTGCTTTGTGAAGGACAACAGACCATCGGTAGGGAAGCTAGACCCTAGGGCTGTGAAGTGTATATTTGTGGGATACAATGGCACCCAGAAAGGGTATGTCTGCTGGAGCCCGTTGGAGAAAATGTTGTTTGTCAGCATGGATGTACGGTTTCGGGAGCTTGAGCCGTACTACACAGTGGGGGTTACTTCACCTTTTGGCGACTTGCCCGATACTAGAGGTATGAGGCGAGCAGGGGAGAATGATGAGAGCTCAAGGGGGTCAATCCCAATTTTGATTCCATACTCAGAGGAGGATGAAGATGAAGGGGAGGAGAATGAGACAAGGGGTGTTAGGCCTATAGATCAGGAGGAGTTGCTTACATATAGTAAGGAGCCAGAGGTGGCTACAGTCCCTATAGTGCCAGTGCCTAGTCCTTCGTCCAGCTCTGCTCCAACTCCTGAGACACCTACACTACCCTCCAATTCAGGTAATACCATTCATACTTCTACCCCTCTTCCCACTCCAATGCCAGTAAGGAGGACTACTCGCGGTAATACGGGAAATCCTCGTGAGAGATATGGTTGGGATCTAGCTCAATTTGTTTCCTATTCTCACATATCCCCTTCACACAGAGCATTCATTGCATCATTAGATTCTGTTATTATACCTAACAACTGGCAGGATGCTAAGGACCCAAAGTGGAAGACAGCTATGCATGAGGAGCTGGGGGCTCTTGAGAAGAACCACACGTGGGAGTTAGTGATACTGCCAGCAGGGAAAAAAGCAGTGGGATGCAAGTGGGTGTTTACCGTGAAGCAGAACCCAGAAGGGAAGGTTGAACGCAGGGAAAAAAGCAGTGGGATGCAAGTGGGTGTTTACCGTGAAGCAGAACCCAGAAGGGAAGGTTGAACGATACAAGGCACGACTAGTGGCAAAAGGAGGTGTTTACCGTGAAGCAGAACCCAGAAGGGAAGGTTGAACGATACAAGGCACGACTAGTGGCAAAAGGATATAGCCAGACATACGACATTGACTACGATGAGACTTTTACACCAGTGACGAAGATGAGTACTGTTCGGACGTTGATTTCTCTGACAGCAAATGGTGGATGAGAACTACACCAACTGGATGCGAAGAATACGTTTCTTCATGGAGATCTAGTGGAAGATGTGTATATGGAGATACAACCTGGATGTGGCACAAGACAGATAGTAGGTAAGGTCTGCAGGCTGAAGAAGTCTCTGTATGGGCTGAAGCAGTCCCCTCGAGCATGGTTTGACAGGTTTAGGAGAGCCATGGTTGGTATGGGATACAAACAGATCAATGCCGACCATACTGTATTCTTCAGAAGTAGGTGTCACATCACTATGCTGGCAGTGTATGTGAATGACATGATCATCATAGGAGATGATGAGAAGGAGATTGTTCAGCTCAAGGTAAGATTGAGCAAAGAATTCGAAGTGAAGGATCTGGGTCAGCTTCGATACTTTCTTGGGATAGAGATAGCTCATGGACCAAAGGGGATTGTTCTCTCCCAAAGGAAGTATGCACTGGATCTTCTGCAGAGACGGGTATGTTGGGGGTGCAAGCTTGCTGCTACACCGATTGATCAGAGTTTCAGGCTGAGTACTGAGGCAGGAGAACCTATTGATCGTGAGAGATATCAGAGATTGGTGGGCAGACTGATCTACCTTAGTCACACACATCCAGACATCTCATTTGCGGTAAGCGTGATAGTCGCTACATGCATGACATGAGGAAGGGTCATATGGATGCAATATACAAGATACTGAGGTATATAAAGGGTGCCCCTGGCAAAGGACTAAGATTCAGGAGGAGTGACCATGTGAATATTGAGGGCTACTGTGATTCAGATTGGGCTAGCTGCGGAGATGATCGGAGGTCTACCTTAGGGTATTACATATTTGTAGGAGGTAACTTAGTCTCCTGGAAAAGCAAGAAGCAATCTGTGGTGACGAGATCAACAGCTGAAGCAGAGTACAGAGCCATGGCCTTAGGGGTTGTGGAGTTGATGTGGCTGAAGAACATGCTGGTGGAGCTGAACCTTGACCAAAGGGCCAAGATGAGTTTGTGGTGCGACAACAAGTCAGCTATCAGCATTGCCAACCCAGTTCAGCATGACAGAACTAAGCACATTGAGATTGATAGATTCTTCATCAAGGAGAAGCTGAACAGTGGGCTACTGGAGTTAGGTTATGTTACAACAAAGGAGCAGGCTGCAAACTGCTTGACTAAAGGGCTTAGCTCAGTAGATCTAGCTAGAGGGTGTAATAAGATGGGCTTAATAGATATCTTTCGCCCATCTTGAGGAGGAGTGTTGAGAATGTAATATAATTAAAGAGTGTTAGAGGGCTTATTACAGAGCCATGGTCTTAGGGGTTGTGGAGTTGATGTGGCTGAAGAACATGTTGGTGGAGCTGAACCTTGACCAAGGGGTCAAGATGAGTTTGTGGTGCGACAACAAGTCAGCTATCAGTATTGCCAACCGCCCAGTTCAGCATGACAGAACTAAGCACATTGAGATTGATAGATTCTTCATCAAGGAGAAGCTGAACAGTGGGCTACTGGAGTTAGGTCATGTTACAACAAAGGAGCAGGCTGCAAACTGCTTGACTAAAGGGCTTAGCTCAGTAGATCTAGCTAGAGGGTGTAATAAGATGGGCTTAATAGATATCTTTCGCCCATCTTGAGGAGGAGTGTTGAGAATGTAATTTAATTAAAGAGTGTTAGAGGGCTTATTACAGAGCCATGGCCTTAGGGGTTGTGAGGGCTTTTGTGTAAATGTGTGTAAGGTTATATAAGCCAACAATTCTATCAATGAAGAATAACTTGAAGCCCTAATTTCTCAATAGTAATACACTATACATGAAGACACTCATTTTTTTGGGATACAAGCTTTTCTCAAACATATCAGAACTAATTAGGTTAATCAATTTTAAACGCTCTCAGACAATAAGATTAACCTTGATTTGATGCACAAAAGTGATTCATTTTACCCACACACATTCCTTGATTTTGATAATCAGTAAAAGGTGATGGGGTTTTTCCCCATGATTCGATCATTTGCCTTATTAATTTACACCACAATTTATAGATGTCTTTATTTTATTTTTTTTGAAATTTCCTAAAAGTAGTATGATACTATTGTACTTTGTGTTTCCAAAAACATTTGGCTTAGTGAGATCTTTCCATCTCTTTCCATTTGTTTGTCAATAGTGTTAATAGTTTCAGAATTTCATATAAGTTTCTGCAGAGTAATTTCCTTTCTTTATCTTGACATATATATATTTTTTCAGTTATGTACATTTTTTTGGGTGTAATCAATAGAGTTGGACAACATAATTAAATGAATTTAAACTATCAGACCTTACTTATGTAATGAGTCTTTTATTGTAGATATGATATGGAGACCCTTCACTATGATAAAGGTGTTCGGAAAGCAAAACGGCAACAACTGGAATCTGAAGCACTGAAAGTGAGGATGAACTCTTCTTTCCATTTTCTTCTTTTGAGTTTTGAATATTTTCTTTCTATCAATGTGAAGAAGAAACTCTAGAACATAATTGATCAATGTCCAATTATGTTTCATACCATTGCTAGCCTGTCAATATCTTTGCAATTGGCTTTGGAAAGGTAGACTGAGCATGAACAATGACATTGAAACATGTTATCTAGTTGAGGAACTAGCTGTCTGATCTTATTACCAACGTATTTTGTTCCACGATGTTTAAACACTTTACATAGTTTATATAGTTCATTATATATTTAGGTCATTTTTGCAGAACAAGAGGCTACATTGTATACATAGTTTATATAGTTCATTATATATTTAGGTCATTTTTGCAGAACAAGAGGCTACATTGTATTGTCTAATTGGTTCTCTTTGGAAGAATAAATTTGATATAATTGCATAATTGATAGGCAAAATCCGCAAGCGCACGGACTCGTTGTAGCTATCAAGGTCGATCCCACAAGGACTAGGGGTTATCTACCAAGTTTCACGTTTTCAACTAGCTAAATCAATGAGTAAATTAGAAGAGATTTAATAAAAGAAATAAAATAAACAACTAATCGGATGGAATTCAATATAATGAAGGACTAGGATTGGGTTATCACCACAACTTAGGTGTTCAATGATGAATTATTTCAATTCTTGGTGTTGGTTTAATCTAAAAAGGGTGAATTAGCCTAAATTAATCTAAAGCCTCTTTCAAGGTCTAAAGATCGTGCCTAATCAATCTCAATTAACCTACTTTCGTGGAATTAAGATTAAGTTAAACCCATTAAGCTTTATGCTAATCCAAATCAAATCCCCAAGTAATCTAGCCTACTTTCGTGGTTCGAGCTCCCTGCTTAATTTCTAGAGATCCGATATTAATCTTCACCTTTCAGTCCTTCAATTAATTACCTATGATTGCTAATACGGTGATCAAGCGAATCAACAAAATTAAAACACTAGAAATCAAGTTCAAAGATTTAAACTTTCACCAAGAACCTATATCAATTCATCATCAATCACCGAAAAGTTGGGTTCTTTCCCAATCCTAGACAAGAAATCTACTCACACATGATTGGAATAAGAGAAGACATCAAATAATTATGCAAATCAATCATAAGAAGAAATAAATCAAAGAGAGGAAAGAATTAACCCGTCTTTCAATTGAAATCTTCAAAATAAGAACTTGCAATCCAATCTTCTACAAGAGATTAATGTCTTCCTTCAATACTTGAACCCTAGAATAGTTGCTAGTTGATGGCTAAAAGAACATAACAAAAGATATCCAAAACCCTAAGTCAAAACATCTATTTATATGTCTCCAAAAATCTGGAAAATAACTAATTCCCGCGCCACCGGTGTGGTCTGCACCACACCAGGGTGTGGTAGGGGCTGTTTTGCTGATTTTGTGCTTGTTTCTTCAGTTTTCGGTATTTTGGCTATAACTTTTGCGTCCGACCTCGGAATGAGGTGATTCAAGTTGCATTGGAATCCTGTTGAAGAGATCTACAACTTTCATCTTTTGAGTTTTTCTTGATTCAAACTGCATCATGGTCGAAATTCCAGTTCTTCATACTCGTGCATCCATTTTCTTCACGAACCATGCCTTCAAAATCTTGTTGTTGCTTCAAACTCTTGTAAAACTTCCAACGATCATCAAATCTTTCAATCTTGAGCCAATACCTACATATAAGAACACAAACCACAGCAGTATCCTCGATCTAAACACGAAATATGCATTAAACACTCGTAAATCATGCTTAAAACACACTAAGATAATGCATATTTTACGTGTTTACCAACTCCCCCAAGCTTAGACTTTTGCTTGTCCTCAAGCAAATAGACAATAAAAATTAGGAGTGAAAGCCAAATAGAGTAGGGATCACCCCCTTATTAATCCTTTAACCAATATCAAACATATCACAAAACAAATACTTTTCATCGGGAGTTAACAAATTAATTTCCAAAACTCTCAACAATATCACATTTCAAAATTTATTTATGATCACAAGCGTCACAAGTCAAGGATAGCCATCCTATCCAATTCTCAAGTCAAAGTAGGAAAAAGAAATTCATGTAACTAGCTTCAATCCCGAAGTACTAAAATTGAGACCTTCAGGTAGTTAAATTGGTAGACCTCACTTTAGGATAAGTGGACTCTCAATCTCTCATGTGTTTAAGGATGTGATTATGTCACTCAAAATTCTTCCGAATGGATGTATTCAATCCATAAGCTTGCATTTCATCTCGATTCTCCACCACTTCAAAAACTAATGCATGCAAAAAAATCATGAGGTCTTTTATTGGTTGCAACGGGGCTAGGGTCAAAAGGTAGGATATATATTTGGGATTGTAGTTGAAAGCCTATCACTAGTGGAGCGATACTTGTAAAATATTTGATCTCAAAATAAGATCAATGAAATTCAAACAAACTCCATCATCTATTAAAGAACTTCTTCCAACTACTCCTTTTAGTATGCCATAATGAATTCTTTCGACACCCGCAATTACATACACCATAAAGATGACACTTTATTCATCTTTTTTTTTCTCAATTTCATTTCTTTTTTTTTCTTTTTCTTTTTGTATAAAAGAAGCAAACACCTACTTTCACACCCCCAATCTTACATTTCATTGCTCACATAACCCATTATATCATAAATTGTGCTCCACTAGCTTAGACAATGGGTAAGGGATACAATCGGATTTTGAAGGTTACATATGTGGGTTTAATCAACAAAAATTAGGCTAATAGGATCAAGCTAATCAAAGGAAACAATAGTGCATGGTAGGCTATTTGGCTAATGTGGACTATAAACAAAAATGTGCCTCAATCACCTTTTATGCATACAAAAGTTATATGTGGCCTTGAAGAGATTCAATGCAAGTTCTAGTATCCTACACCATTGGAGAATATCACACAAGAAAAGAAAAGAATGATTGGATATGTAATGCATCTAATTTCAGGCTCAAAATCTCACGGGTTTTATTTGTCTACCAAATTTTGGATATGTAATGCATCTAATTTCAGGCTCAAAATCTCACGGGTTTTATTTGTCTACCAAATTTAATTCTCCTATTGTCTCAATAGAGTAATGGTTATGACGCTAGCCACATAAATGCTAAATCCTATAAGACAAGAGAACATTCAAGTTTGGTTCTCTTGTATTGTTAACTTGCAATCAAAAGCATTTTAGAATAAGTTGAAAGGTGGTATAAGAAGTTGTCAAGTCCCAATTAATGAGCATCTATCTAGTTTAATGATCGATAAAGGTTGAGCATTCATGTCATCATCAGGAGATCATTTCCCTATTTTTTTTTTGTTTTTTTTTTGTTTTTTTTTAAAGGAGAAACAAAGCAAAAGAAAAACTAAAATAAAAGAAAAATAGGCAATTATAGACAGACAACCAATGAATGAACAACCCACACCCTCAAGCTTAAGATCTACATTGTCCTTAATGTAATAAGATAGAAATTAGTGCAAGGGTGTAGAGGACATACCAACTCACTGGTCAGAAGGAGGCGGCGACATTTTGCTGAGGAGGTGGAGGCGGTCGGTGGTGTTGACGAAGGTTGGAGTCGGGGAGATGAAAGGGGAGGCTGCTCCGATCGTGAAGATGGTCGGAGAAGAGAAGAAAGGCGATGGGGGTGAAGAGCGTTGATTTGGGTTAGGGCAAAGAAGAGGAAAGAGGGGTGTGGTTGCTGGGTTGAAGAGGGGTTTTATTTTCGGTTTTATATTTTTTTTAACCAGCGACCCACGGGTGTGGGAGATGGGTGTGATAGAGTCTGTATTTTTTTTTCTGTGGATCGTGGGTGTGGTGTACACCACCCCTGGGTGTGGTAGGCTCTGCCACTCCATTTTTAACTCCTTTTTCTGCAGTTTTTTTTCCTAAATGTCTTCATTTCTTCACAACTACATGATCAAAAATATTATAAGTTAAATTTGTGCCGATCCAATTGCCTAAAAAAAAATAAAAAAATTGATAACAAAATAAAATGCTAAAATGAAAGAACTAGAATGTGTGAAAACTTGGGTTGCCTCCCAAGAAGCGCTCGTTTATGGTCATGAGCTCGACCCCCTTTTGCGCTCAACTTTCCGACGAAGGGGGATCAGAAAGGGTATATGTGACCCCTTTCTCGTTTTGTTCCCCAACAATGTAGTGCTTCAATCGTTGTTCATTCACGTTGAAAGATCTCGTTGTTTCACTCCAAACTTTAACAACTCCACTAGGAAAAACCTCACGAACTTGAAAAGGTCCGGACCACCGAGATTTAAGCTTGCCCGGAAAAAGCTTCAAACAAGAGTTGAAAAGTAGCATCATATCTCCTTGATTAAACTCTCTTCGAAGAATATTCTTGTCGTGCCATCGTTTAGTCCTCTCTTTATAAATGCGAGCATTCTCATACGAATCCAAACGCAGCTCATCTAGCTCATGAAGTTGAAGCTTTCTTTTCTCACCTATGGGTGCTTTATCCTCTTCACAAGTAGAACCTTTTGACTTTAACTTCAGACTTTTAAACTTTGCATTTTGAAATGGAGCGGTTGATGTTGATTCTAAAGGCTGAGCATATGCGGCTACTCGGGGTCTTCATCATTTATTGAATCGTCACTTACCAAATACTTCTCAAGTGGATCAGCTGAGTAATGGTTTGCAAGTTGCTCATGTGTAGACTTATCAATCACGTCGATCCTGTAACAAACTTTATCAGTTAGAGGGGGTTTCATAGCATTGCTCAAATCAAATTCTACCTTCTCCCCTCCAATATTTAGGGAGAGACTTCCATTTTTAACATCGATTATAGCACCTGCAGTAGCAAGGAAGGGTCTTCCTAATATAATTGGGATGTTAGAATCTTCTTCCATTTCTAAAATAACAAAATCAACCGGGATAAAGAACTTACCGACCTGGATAGGTACATCTTCAAGTATACCTACCGGATATTTTACCGATCGATCCGCCAATTGGAGTGATATCGTG